AAACAAACCTCAGGCGGAAGTGCAGTGAGTCATCGGGGTTCCCTGCCTGCCACAGCCGCGGGACAGGAACACTGTGTCCCAGGTACAAGCCCTGGCACAGCCAGGATGCAGATAGGTGGGCCACCCAGCAGGGCCCCCTCATCTCAGCAAGCACCCATGACATGAGTTTCGATGTTCTTAGCCAGGTGCAGGGCAAGGTGCAGCCAAATCCCCTCCACTTCCTGCACTGAGCAGACAGCTCACTGCTGCTGACTCACACCGTGGCAGGACAAGCGCAGAGGGGACCCCAGTCCTGTGCATCAGGAGTGTCCCATGGGGACTCTCTGTCTCCTGGTGTCACACTTCAACCCCAGCCCCCACCGAGCTCTAGGGATCAGGGAGGGCTGGAGTTGGGGTGTGAGTCCCTTGGTGCCAGCACCAAAAACCATATCCAGATGGGCGGGAGGGGAGGGCAGGATCTGATGCCACACAGGGGCTGCGGGAGGGGCTGTGGATGTGTTTTTTCCCAAAACTTTTTCCAGCCTGGAGGGGAGCTTGGGCAAAGTAAGGGCATGGGAGAGTCGGCTTGCCATACCCACCCTGCACTCGGCCACAGGTGAACCTCTCAGCACCAGTGGTCAACACCAGCTGCTGGAACCAGCCCACCCTTGTCTCCACCGCCTACCACAAGGTGGACCTGTTCAACGGGCAGCTGGACGGTGTACTTCTCACTTCTATCTTTGTCACCGCTCTGGGGGACGTCACTGTGGCCCACTTGGGCACAGCAGAGGGACGCATCTTCCAGGTGGGATGGGAGGCTGGGTGGGATGGGGGATCCTGGTGGGCTTGGGGGTGCACTCAGACCCCGACTCTGCCTCACTGCAGATGGTGCTCCAGCGTTCCAGCTCCTACCTCCTGACCTTGGCCAACTTCTCCTTGGGGGAGCCGGGGAAAAAAAAGGGCTGCAGAGCCACTCGCTGTTCTTTGCCGCTGGCACCAAGGTGAGTGAGGGGTCTGGGGGTTGTCGGGTGAGCACTGTGGCCCATGTGCCCGCCTCACCTCACTCTCCATCCCCAGATGTGGCGTCTGAACGTCACTGGTCCCGGCTGCCGCCACTTCTCCACATGCCAGCGCTGCCTGCAGGCTGAACGCTTTATGGCCTGTGGCTGGTGCAGGGATGGGTGCACGCGCCACCACGAGTGCACTGGCCCCTGGGTCCAGGACAGCTGCCCACCCATCCTCACTGACGTAAGTTTGCCCTACCATCCCCCCGCTACCCATGTCTCCCATGCACACAGATGAGAAAGGATGTGGCAAATGGAGTGGCATGTGATGGGACCCGCTCTCTGGGATCTGTGTTGTGTCCCTCAGGAAAGGGACTTTCTGGATCCGCAACCATCATGGGGCTTATGGGGCTCAGGGTGACACAGGTGTCTCTCCCACAGTTCCACCCCCGGAGCGCCCCACTGCAGGGTCGAACACGGGTGACGCTTTGTGGTATGACCTTCCACTCCCGCTCAGACCCTGACCCTAGCCACAACCCTGCCAGTGTCTACCGGGTGGCAGTTGGACGACGAGGCTGCACTGTGCTGCCGGAGGAGAGTAGGAGCTACAGGTGTGTGATGGTGCTGGGAGGGAACAGCAGCAGAGAGGGTTCTGGGTCTGCCTCCCAGCCCAGAGCTGACCCGCATCACCATCCCACAGTCCCCTGGCCACCTCCCATCGCAAAGAGTTTGTGGACATGCTGGTGTGTGAGCTGGAGCCAGGGGGCCCAGTGGCAGGGGGGGG